GGGGGGGGGGCGAAGGGAGGGAGAAGAGGGGCTGAAGAGAAGCAAAGGGTCAGATAAGGTGGGCGAGGGGGAACAGGGTTGTGTGAGGCAGAGGCAGGAGGGGGATACAGGAGGTGCTGAAGAGAGGTTGGGGGGATTCAGGGGAGACTTACTGGGGCAGATGGGAGCAGGGATGCCGTGGAGGGAAACTCTGAGGGGAGTCACATGGAGGAAAAGCGGGGATGTGGGAAAGGGAGGCTGGGGGGAGACTGTGGGAGCAAGAGCAACCTGAGGGGCAGGGGATGTACAGAAGGAGATAGGGGAAGATACAATGACAGTTCCCCCACCCCATAGCTCTGTTGAGCTAGAAGTGTGATTCCCAACGTATGGATCTCAGTTACCTAGCATGCTAAAAACAGAATGTAACCATGGCTGTATGAACAGCATGATGGACTCTTTACTATAAGTACATGCATACCTAGTTTCTTTCACAGACGTAGTTAGCCCTTTTGCTGCCATGACTACATTATTTTTTTGTGCAATAGCTCAATAAGAGTTATCATGTATATGTGTCCTCAAGCTGAGTCACATCTCCATCTCTTCTATGTGTAGACGTACCCTTTAATTCTACTGCTCCTGCTCCCACTGGAACTTGCTACTGTCTTCTTGACTACTTTGTTTCTTTTAATTTCCTTGCCTTTTTTTCCACCCCTCCTGTAGTCCTGGCCGACACCTGTCTTCAGTTGTCTCTATTCAGAGCAAACCACCTATCCTAACATACCACATTAACAGGTGTGTGGTGAGCAAGACACGAGAAGTCATTCTTCCGCTCTACTCTGCCCTGGGTAGGCCTCAGTTGGAGTATTGTGTCCAGTTCTGGGCACCGCATTTCAAGAAAGATGTGGAGAAATTGGAGAGGGTCCAGAGAAGAGCAACAAGAATGATTAAAGGTCTAGAGAACATAACCTATGAGGGAAGGCTGAAAGAATTGGGTTTGTTTAGTTTAGAAAAGAGAAGACTGAGGGGGGACATGATAGCAGTTTTCAGGTATCTAAAAGGGTGTCATAAGGAAGAGGGAGAAAACTTGTTCATCTTGGCCTCTGAGGATAGAACAAGAAGCAATGGGCTTAAACTGCAGCAAGGGAGGTTTAGGTTGGACATTAGGAAAAAGTTCCTAACTGTCAGGGTAGTCAAACACTGGAATAAATTGCCCAGGGAGGTTGTGTAATCCCCATCTCTGGAGATACTTAAGAGTAGGTTAGATAAATGTCTATCAGGGATGGTCTAGACAATATTTGGTCCTGCCATGAGGGCAGGGGACTGGACTCGATGACCTCTCGAGGTCTCTTCCAGTCCTAGGATTCTATGATCCTCTGGGGAGGAGCTAAACTACCTTAACTATTACAATGTTTCAAAAGGAAAATACTAACCGTCCTAACATAGTTCAAACCAATGTCATTCTCCACCATCCAATCAGAAATATAGGGCTGGGACTGCGTATCAAAATAACAATATTATATTTCGATGTATATGTGCGAACAAGTGTGATTTTAATAGATATATTCTGGTGAGCATTGATTTCTCAAGCTCCTCAAAATGAGGTAAATTTGTCCCTTCTCCGTCAGTGGTGCTATATCAGTAGTAAGAGCCGACAAGAACAAAACACCCAGTCCATAAATGAATTTAATAAAGTTGTTTTTGGGACCTATTGTATATGAAGAAAACCCTGAGTACTTAGATGAGTAACATAATACGTATTAGAAGTGTAGTTCTAGTAAACATAAGAAAGTAAAATGAGGAAATAAAGTACAAATAAGGAAATCTGAAGAATGATCGAGTAACATTCAGTGTCTTTATACTTTCTCAGAGCAGTGGGTCTTGGTCCCAAGTACTCTGATGGATGTCCTGGTACCATTGAGCGAACCTGCAACTTCAGCCATTTATATTTGTCCTAAGATATTTACAACATGGCTAACCCTATTGAAAATCATGAGTCGGGCCCCCCAAATCATGATATTGGCTTACAAATCACAAGTTTTTTTTTAAAAAATCATACTTTTTAGGTTCTTTTTCTTTGCATAATGATTTTTGACCCCAGAAGATCAGGCCTCAATTGGAGTATTGTGTCCAGTTCTGGGCACATTTCAAGAAAGATGTGGAGAAATTAGAGACGGTCCAGAGAAGAGCAAAAGAATGATAAAGGTCTAGAGAACATGACCTATGAAGGACTACTGAAAGAACTGGGCTTGTTTAGTTTGGAAAGGAGAAGCCTGAGAGGGGACATGTTAGTGGTTTTCAAGTATCTAAAAAGGGTGTCATGAGGAGGAGGGAGAAAAATTGTTCTCCTTGCCCTCTAAGGATAGGACAAGAAGCAATGGGCTTAAACTTCAGCAAGGGAGGTTTAGGCTGGACATTAGGAAAAACTTCCTCTCAGGGTGGTTAAACATGGGAATAAATTGCCTAGGGAGCTAGTGGAACCTCTATCTCTGGAGATATTTAAGAGCAGGTTGGACAGACACCTGTCAGGGATGGTCTAGATGGTGCTTGGTCCTGCCGTGAGGGCAGGGGACTGTGACGAAATGAAAAGTATGCCGTTTGCAATAAACTTTGCATAAAATAGTTAATTTGCATTTAATTTTAATGGTTCAAAGAATGTCAGGCAAAATGGTCGGCCCTCACGCATGTTCACTTCATCAAATCTGGCCCTCTTTGAAAAAAGTTTGGACACCCCTGGTCTAGAGGGTACTGGGTCCTACTGTGAGGGCAGGGGACTGGACTCGATGACCTCTCGAGGTCCTTTCCACTTCTAGTGTTCTATGATTCAAAGATGTTCTTGAGGCACTCTTCCAAGCTCTTCTCTGAAAAAAAAAATTAACGTGAAAGCTGAGATTCTTTTGCAATGTTTTATTTCAGCAGTGGGGCTTTAAGAAAAATACCAAATATTGTGAGACTTACAATATAATGCCACAACAGTGCATTTAGTTTAAAAATATTGAACAGTAAACCTGTAAACTTACTGGTAAGGCCTTTGCCAGTTAACACTGGCAGTGGTCAGCCATGCCGGGCTGGAACAGAGGGACCCCATGGCTACAGCAGGACCTCATGGCTGCAGCAGGGCCATGTGGCAGGGCAGGCCAGGCAGCAAGACCTGGGTTAAAACAGTTAACTGATTAAGCGCTATCCTTTAACCAGTTAATGATTTTAATATCCCTAATGTAATTGACCGCTGAGGCTTTCTGGCTCCTCTTTTTCTGCAATAGCTTTTTCTGGGACCTAACTCACTACTTTAAGGTAAAATAAAGGCAAGCCTTGTGCCAATACCAAAACAACATACATTCAAAATTACAATGGTATGGGAGATAGAAAGACGAGACAAACATGGTTTCAATTTTGGGGTTTATAATTTATTTAGAAATTGGATTCTTTTAGCATAAATAACTCCAGTTCTGCATGTGGTCTTGCAGCTGGAGAGCATTAACTAAAAATAAATCCCCCAAATTATGCATGTTCTCCTGGAAACTAGTATCTGGTGACCCTTTCTTGACCCCAAAAAATCCTGTGCAAAAAGGAGACATAAAAGATTTGACAAGCTTTAGGTTACACTAGGGGGCGGTGCCCCCTGCTCGCTATGCTCACCAACTCCTCTGTCTCTGGGGATAAACAAGCCCATCTCCCACCAGCAGCTGGGGGCTACACCAGCCCCAGCCCCAGCCCCTCGGCCATCTCTCTCCAGTTGGTGGGGAGGGGAGGGCCAGGGGCTGCGTCTCGGCGGGAGTGCAGGGTTCAGATGCCCCATCACAGATTGCTTTGGCCATTTGTGTGTCTGTGGCTGAAAAACTATAATCTCACCAGATACCATTTTATGCTGTATTTTAACACCTAGGATGTGTTTAGACTGGCAAG